AAAATGATTATAAATTATAATTAAATTATGATAATTACAATAATTTCTTTGTATGTGATTTGAATAAAGATGTATATAAAAAAAAAATCGAAAATGACAAGTGGCACAAAACTTTGGTCGCATCGTCAGTAATTTTTATTGATGTTTTTCTTCAAGAAATCGTCAATATATAATCAAAATAATCGCGACGAGAAAAACCGACGCCAAGTTTGTTCTCTCGCTCCGTCGTTGGATTTCTCTCGTGATCATATAATGACTCTCAAGGGAGCAAGAATAAATATTTTTTTTTCTCAGAAAAGTTATCTCTCTTCGAAGCTCGCCCTCTCTCGTTTACAAAGACATTTCGCTTTTGTTTCTGCTAATTAATAAGTAGAAACGTTTTGATGAACATTAATTTTCCCAGGGAAGGAAACCGAAACGAAACAGAGACAAAGTAGTTGACAAGGAAACAATTATTCTACCTTATTATTTATTGCACACAGCGGTCAATTCGACTAGCACAATTTGTAAATCGGGATCGAAGCGAGCAGACGCAAAATTGAATTACCCAGATCTTCCCCGAAATAGAATCGGAATTAATGAATCAAGGAATTGTTTTCTGAGAAACATTTGCGTCCAACAGCAATACAATCAATTATATTGCTATCTAATACAACAGTATTTTATCCAATGACATTTTATAGAGATAACGAGTGAAGCATTGTGGAAAATGTCATACTCCAAGAAAAGGATTTTTGCCTCCCGCTTTCATCACGCTCGCGATCGTAGAGGATTACGAAAGAGCAGTTTGACGTTTAACAATGCATAGATGTCTGCCAATGCAAACAATATTGTTACTACTGACTCACTCGTGCGAGCATAGCCAGCTTGTTTCATTCAGCTTGATCATTCAATTTGGTTACACTAATGAGTAGTTATTGCAACTACAGTGGCGGGCTTAGAAATACATTGCCAAACTTCGTTCGTAATCTCTTCCGTCCGATGTCTGTCAAATAGTGTCTCTTGTCCGCGAATTCGAATTCCGCATCAAAGAGGCTTACCTTTGAATATCGAACTGCTGCTTTTCATGTCTGTTTTCCGATAAGATTGATTTCGCGGTGCGTGTACATTTCATAAGTTGCGATTGTATAAAATCTGATTTGTTTTTGTATTTTGATATTCAAATGTATACAGGATCACCAATCATAATACAAAAAGAAAAAGGGAAGAAAAACTGAAAAAACAAATCGAGATTATATAAAAATTTTTCATTCAAAGTTTTATTTTTTTTAAATTAACTTTAAAAATTCAAAAATTCTCATCTGTTCTTTTTTATATTTAGAAGTATGCACAAATTTCATATTGCACGCTATTTTAACATGATGACAATTACATATGAATAAAATGTAAAATGAAAAATAAAACATGTAATATAAATTATTGAATCATGTATAAAAATTTAATAATAATAAATTAATTTAAGTCGCTATATAAACACATTAAATAAGGAAAGAGCCAATACAATTAGACCAGATCTTGGGGCTTAATAATATTTATATCGTTTTATATTCCCTCATTTTAAAAATTACTGCAACTAAAAAAATTTACTTTTTTAAAAAAGGGAAAACTATTTTCAATTTAAGAAAATTATTGACTACTCAAACAGTATCGATAAAAAGAATATATATTCTTAGAAATATAATTTAAATTATTTTTGTTTCACAACTCTTAAAAAAACTATCTTTTCAATTGTGACAATTTGGATATTTATAAAATTATAATAATTCTGAAATAATTCATCAAAAGTAATATAATTCGAAGTATCACCAACAGTTTATATCTGCTTAATCAGTTAAAGTGACTAAATAAAATAATTTCGTCTTCAAACTTCAATCACCAAACTCTAAATGTTCTCTTATTTAAGATTATTTTAGCTGATATTAAGGCAAATATAAACTGTTGGTGATACTTCGAGTTATATACTTTTGATGAATTAGTTCAAATTTGTCATAATTTTATAGAATATTAAAATTATCACAATTATATTTAATTATGCTTCTAAGAATATTTTTTTTGCCGATAATATTTGAGTAGTCAATAATTTTCTATTAACATTTTTTAGTTGCAATAATTTTTAAAGTGGAGAAAACGATATAAATGTTATTATTAAGCACCAAGATCTGGTCTTAATCGTTTTAGCCCTTTCCTTATTTAATGTATTCATATTAGCAGTTTTAATTTATTATTATTAAATTTTTAATATTTGATACATGATTCAATAATCTATATTACATTTTCAATTTTTCATTTTACATTTTATTTTCATTTTACATTGCATTCTTCATTTGAGTTACAAACACGATACAATCCAAAATGTGTTACTCTTATAGAAAGTATTATAATTTATTTTTAAATCTTATAGAACAATAAATATTTGATGGATCGTAAAGTTAATTTGGTTTCTTGATAATTAATAACGTAATCTTTCTATTTATTCATTTGGAGACACGGTTGTGTCTCAGCGTTAAGACATAGTAGTGTAATAACAGTTACATTTTCTGACGTATGTCACTTTTGAAATAAAGGAATGATACATAAATTCTAAATACATCTTTCTTTCGAATTTCATCTGCAACTAATGAAGCTTCTTAAAATGCTAAAAAGGATTTAATAAATAACGGTAATTTTCGCAATTCTTTTAAATTCTTTTAAATGTTTTAAGATGCTTATCAGCGTCGTTATTAAATTGATGATCAATTTAATTTATAATATCTCATTATTTCAACTTCAGTTTATAATTGCATTTCGAGTTCGACAGTAAGCAGCGCGCATTATATTACTAAAAGATGTATTTATAGAATTTACGTACAAATGTTATTAGGCATCAAGATTTATTTGATCATATATTGATTTTTTTCTTACTTAAATAATTTACTTAAAAACATTTTATTTACATAAAATATGTTATCAATTGTAACATCACAATATTTTGTGTTAAACATTTCTTTAAGCGTTAAATGTTTTATATTTTGATAAACATTTCATATTTTGATTTTAGCTGAATTCGAAGATCTTTAAAGATTATTACGCAAACTTAAATAAAAATAAAATATTTTCTATGTTTTAATTTTCAAATTTGATTTTTTCGGAAAATTTATTGTTTGTAAATTATAATGTTATATAATTTTAACTTATTCTGTCAGAAGTAATCACTCATTCTTCTGGCTTGTATTATAAATATAAAATATATTAAAAATAAAATTATCTAAAACATATAAAAGTCTGAGAAAAAATGTGTATACAAGCATTAAATATTTAAAATCAATTTCTATTGTTTCTCGTGTAATTTGGACTTCGCGCAATTGCAGTTATTATCTCGTACAGAAAAATCAACGCTCTATAAATCACTCGAAGTACTAATTGCACGCGCGATATCTTTATGTTTGTACTTATGTATTGCGATAAAACGAGCTAAGTACCATGCCAAGGTATATTTTCGCAGCGCGGAAACTCAGCAGATAGGCAGATATTTGTTACTTTTCCTCGGTGGAAATCACCGGAGTAACTCCGTTTCCGACAAAAGTCAGAAGGGAAAGTGCTGTGCCTCTGAGGAAATGGGAAATAGAAGCTTGGAAAGAAATGCTGTCGCCGAGGAGAATCACCCTAAGTGACATTTTGCCATCGTCACGATCTCGATCATTGCTCTCCAATACCTATTCCACAAAAGGATCACAAATCGTAATCTGTAAGAAATTATCCAATCATAGCCAAATATGAGAAAAATAATCGATTATGATTAGTCAATTTCTTATGGCTTACGCTCTTATTATAGAACAGACATAATGCAACGACAGACTGGATTCGACCGTAGGAAATTACAATCGGACGATTGTTACAGTAAATTGTTTAGCCCAGCGGACCATCCGATCATTCCGATCGATCAATATTGTGGTTTGTTTACACTATTCTAGGACTGAGCATTCGCAGAAATAGCCATCGTTAATACAATCATCGAAAATAGTTAATTACAATTACAATTGCAATTGTCAAATAATTTAATTAAACTTATATTGTAATTATCAACGTTTTAATAAAGTGTCCTAGTGCATATTCTCTAATTTGATTGTCATACATTTTCCCATTTTACGACGCAATATTTGCTTCGCCATTAAGAAAATAATAAACATTGATTAATGAATATAATTAATTAATAATCGATTATTTCAAACGATTAATCAGTTATTTTTTTTAATCTTGAGGGTCGACAGCAGCGATATATAAGATTTCAAATCTATATAATTGGTAAATTTTAAACGGTAGAGCCAAAATGACAGTCAAAATTATTATCAAGACATGGTGAATTTTGATATTAGTGAAATATAAATTCTTAATATTTTTAATTCTTTATATTCTTAATATTCTTTATATATTTTTAATATTCTTACATATAAAATTTTATACATAAATATAAGTCAAAGTTTTTTCCATTTGATCGCCATATTAAACCCGCCATTTTGACTTTTTAAATTTTGATTTCAGATTTGTAATCCCAATCAGCAATCTTAAAAATTTTTACATACTAAAATTTAGCAATAGAATTTACGTTTTCAATAGAACAATTTTGTGTAATAAAGAATTAAAATCACGTCTATTTAATAAAAATCGTTTTTTATATATATAAAATAATCGATTATGTCCATCATGTCATTAACGAGATTTCGCTTATCAAATAATATGCCTTTCCGGTGCACCGGCTGTACGCATTGTATACGTTCGGACGAAACATCTGTACGGATTTATGGTTCCAGAAATGAGC